TGTGTGTGTGTGTGTGTGTGTGTGTGTGTGTGTTAGGAGCTGCACCTGCCCATGTATAGTAGTATGGAGACCAGAGGTCCATTTTTGGTCTTTCTCTCTTGCTCTCCACTTTATTTTTTGGAGGTACAGTCTCTCTCAGAACCTGGAACTGACCCTTTTGGCTAGACTGGCTGCAGCAAGTGCCCTGAATCCACCTGTCTCTGGCCTCTCTTAATGCTGGGGCTACAGATATGCTTATGGCACTACACCTTCACATGGGTGCTGGAGATGAAAGTCAGGGCTTTGGGCTGGCACAGTAGGCATTTTACTCAGTGAGCCATCTCCCTATCCCGGTAAGTTTAGTCACTGACTTCACTAAACTTAGCTGCTGAAGGGCCACCTGAAAATTACCTTAAACAGATTGCATTTGCCAGAAAAATAACTGCATAACAATTCCAGAAAACTTGATCATATGAGAAGGAGCCACTCATACAGAGTGGACCATTATAGAAAACACTTGATCATATGAGAAGGAGCCACTAACACAGAGTAGACCATTATATTCCAGTCTCCTAACCAGAGGCAAAACACAGACTCGGGGTTATATGAACATAACATACACCTTGCAAGAATAGAGCTGGCAAATAAATGAAAACACTACATAAGAAGTGGAACTTACCACAAAGGGTGTCTGCACCCTCTTTGTGATAATGAAATTGGCCCTCAGTACTTGCTTTACATTGTGCTCACACCCATTTTACTGCAAATGTTTACTAAAGAAATTATCTGTTTCCTACTACAGCATGGAATTTTCAATTAATGAAATGCCCTATAAATTCCCAGAAATCCTCTAGTGGGAGATAATTTAGCTGTCACCAGAGTAGGGGATAATTTAGTTGTTACCAGAGACCAACGGGACCCCATTTACTTTACTCTGAATTGCTGGGGGGAAAAAATAAGTCAGTAAAGGTCTTATGTCATTTCTCTTCAGACCATAAAACAAAATTGATGTTAGTCTAGCTTGCAGGCACTTAAGATTGGTTTATGCATTAGTGGTTGACTCAATGCACTAAGCCATCCATTTTATATCAGAAGTTTTACCAGCAGCACAGGGACCCAGGGAACTGGTAAACAAAGATTCCCCAGGGCGATTGCTTTGTGGTTCTCTCAGTGTTCCAGGTGGTTTTAACCCTTTCTTTTGCAATAATCTAAGGAAATGGAAAGGAGTGGCTCCTTTCAGTGCAGCCCAAGCTAAGGAGAGAAGCCATTGTTGGCATCAGAATTAAAGCAACTGCTTCTAGCATAATTTATGTGTTATTAAAACACAGAAACAGAGGCCTAGCATGGAATGATAGATGCTAAGCTACACAAGGAATGCTAACTGCATAATAAGGACACATTTTCAGAGAGATGGAATCATGTCAAAAGAGAATAGTCCATTATCATATTTGGTAAAAGACAGCATGCATGTTTCACATTATAGGTTGGGTATCCCTTGCTGAAATGCTCTAGATCTGAAGTATTTCAGCTTTCATGGGTTGATGTAACGGGGTTGAGGAGATGGCTCAGTGTTTAAGAGCACTGGCTACTCTTGCAGAGAACCCAGGTTTTGTTCCCAACACCCACATGGTTGGTGCCTCACACCAGTCTGCAACTCCAACTCCAGTTCCAGGGGATCTGATGGCCTCCTCTGGCCTCTGAGGGTACCAGGCACACTTATGGTGCATAGACAGACACACATGCAGGCAAAACACACCTATAAACACATAAAAATAAATAAATCTTAAACATTTCCAAAGTCTTTACCAATTGAGCATTCCTAACCTGAAAAACCCAAACCCCAAATCCTAAACTTTTTAGCATCATATTACACATTCATACACACACAGATATGCACACATACACACACCCCACATTAAGAGAATAATTTACTTTTCTGTTAATCTGACTATGCATTCTTCTAGACATGTGATTTGTAGATAATTTCAAGGAGAATATTAAGTTTAGGAAAACCCAATGCTTGTTACTGTCTCCTTTCATGGAAGATGCTCACAAAAGCTAATGTTCTGATCATTTTTTTTTCCTCCCTGGCCATCTAATTTTTGCTCTAGAAATTTAGAATATACTTTTAGCTCTGGGAAAAGAGTAATTCCTCATTGCTTATCCTTTTGGCCATCTGTTGATTCTCAGGACTATTATTTGAACACTGCTTTCTAAATATGAGACAAATTATTTGTAGGAGAGAAAAATCTAGTCTACATTCAAGAGCAAGGATCTGGTAAAGTTCATCATCTCCAGTTAATGTTTGTGGATTTTCTTCATTGGGATCTGCTAGTAAGGGGGTTTAAACACAAATTTAGATGCAAGAACTAATCAAAATTCATAGGAAAGGAATCATCAATGCTCACTTTTAAAATGCCACATATGATAATGTACCCCACAGGAAGGAACCATTGTTAGATTCCTGCCACCTTTAGGAAAGAGGGGTGCCTTTCATTGTATTGAGGACTGAGCTCTGAAACCAGGCTCTTTCTGCAGTTCTAACACAAGGAACTTGAGGGAACACGAGTAAAGAGGAAAGACAGAAAAATATCATTGTCTAACTCTTTGTGGTTCCAGAAATCGAACCCAGGACCCTGCACATGCCAGGAAAGCACTCTGCTGCTCAGCTGTCCCTCCATCATCCTATCCGCAAGACAGCAGAAAAAGAATCCCATCAAATAGACCCCAAACTCATGTTAACTTATATTATTATATGGGTTAGAGTTTGTGAGGTTTATCGTACTAAAGGGAATACAGAAATCATATTCATATGAATACTACAGATAGCTAGAGAGGGAAGCATGTTACCAAAGTTCCTTCCCTTGGGGAGAGACATACAGAGCACCTACCCTTTCTCCTAAAGTCCCGATGACAAACTGAGGTACAGTTCCATCAAAGTTCACCTGGGTACCAATGAATGATTTTATCAGGCTGGCTTACAAAGCAACGGGTGAGGGGCTACGGGTAGGAGCATGGCAGCCACACTGGAGATGTGCACCCAGTAAGAACGATGGCTCCGCAAGCTGCATAGATGAAACCTCCCCTCCTCCTTCCCACCCTCTATCCTCTAGCCACTCCCAGAGACCCCAAGGCCACATCCAGTTAGGTTATAATTGCATACAACTGGTTGGGTGGTGGTGGTGGCTGGATAGACAGGTGAGGGTCCCATGATCCTCCTGCCCCATCCTTCCAAGAGGGAAGGTAGGTAATAGTCAACAAGTCCAGCTGTGATGATCTTTGGTGGGCAGGCCCAGTTGGACTCTGGAAAATGGAAGCAGTTTGGCTACAGCATAGTCCTGCACAAGGCATACACATCTAAAATAATGGCTGACAATTTAGAATGGAATTCAAGCTAAAGTGGGTAAAAATTAAACAAAACAAAAAGACCACTGCTAAGTGTTCTGTATCTTTGGAAAAGAAGTTACTTTTCCCTAGAGGCTTCATGACAGTGCTAATTTTCTTTTTTAAATGAAAGGTGAGAGGAATTTCCCCATAACATGCCATCAAATCAACTCTTCCCCTTCTTGGAATTTTTAAGCACCAAGAACCCACCCACCCCACACACAAACATACACATTGTTCAGTTCTGTGGAGAGAGGGAGCATGCAGACCTCTAAACAGCACTGTGGAACTAATTTACTTCATGAATAAGTACAGTTCATGTGCACAAGCAAACATCCAAACAGCTAACGGCTTCATCTGCAGCAGAAATCATTGCTTCTTGTTATTTGTGTCAACTCAGGCATTCCGTGTAATCACATAAGGCATCTGATAACACTAATTTACTCAATAGGCAGAAGTCATGTCCACCTGCTACACACACGATCAAGTGCCAAAGCTAAACAACAGTGATCACACCCACCCTCCTGTCTTCCCTACCATAAGCCCTGCGTGACATTCCTAGCAACAGCTGCCCATAATGCTCAAGGTTTAATGCTAATTTGAAGGAACAGCTTTCCTGGCAAACCACAACACAGCAGCTGCTTGGAGACAGACCGCATCCCTCTACCCATCTCTTGCCACTGTCCATCTTTCCCACTCTATCATGAAACCTAGAATAAAATTGGAGAGGAACTATGGGTGTAGGTCAATGGGTTAGCATACAGGAGGCTCAATCCTAAGCATGGAAAAAGCAGGGAGGGAGCTGCAAAGCTGCTTTAATATTGTTCTTTTTTTTTTTTCATAAAAGCAGGGTTGAGGGGATGAATGAGGGTAAAGCACCGGCCTTGCACATCAGCTTCCCAGAAGCCACATTCAAAGGCCAGTGGGCAAAGCGGCTTAGGTGTAACCCTGCTACATGGGATGCAGAGACAGAACTCCATGAGCAAGCTGGATAGCCACACGAAAGAGCTCCAGGTTCAGTGAGAGATCCTGCTTTCATGGATTAGGTGGAAAAATCCAGGAAGACACTTGCACCTGCACACACATCTGTGCCCTCAACATATGTAAATACACAAATAACACACACATACACATGCAAAACATTTTTTTTACAAACCAATTATTTCCCAAATAAACTTTATTTTCACAAAGAGTATCACATAGACATAGAAATTTAAATATGACACATGGAACAATTATGAGTCAAATTACATACATGTGAAGTCACAGTTGGTGTTTGATTTTTCCCACTAATGGGAGGGTCCAAAGATATTGCTATAAAAAAAAAAAGGCAGATGGCTTATACAACCATTATTACTGGTATATCTTTCTTTCATACTTGTTTGAATGTTTAGCTGAGGACTGATACAAATTTATATAACTGAGTAATCAAGATTCTTTCTCTGTCCTTGCTCCAGCACAGATGGCGGCAGCAGCTTTGGTGAAAAGCAGCCTTCAAGACACACCACTGTCCTGTCATGACAGTCACGGGCCTTCTCACAACCTCGCCAGGTTCAGAAAAATGCTAGTGCTGACAGCCATTTTATGGTTATACCTGACATCTGCAAGAACAGGTCTTAGAGTATATTCTTCCCAATAGCATGTTTTGGTGGGGAAAATGTCAATGCATAATTAGTAACTTCTACAAACAATAGGAAGTGATAGGAATGGGTGAACTAAGACATATATCTGACCCTTCTCACGGGTCACTGGGGGTGGAGGATGACTGAGGCAATTCAGAGCAAATGTGACAATTTTTCTATGAAAACAGAGACATTCCTGAAACCTGAGGAGAGCTGTGATCTGCCAGGAACAGCCAGAACTGTCCCCAGAGGTAAAGACGCAAAGGAAATGGGGCCCAACAGATACAAGCGAACTTGCTTCTTCCATAGCAGAAAATAGAAAAGTGAACTCAGGGACAGAAGACGCATCTACAGCTTAACCACCAGTGCTGAGCTCCTCAATCAACTTCCAAACAGCTCCTCTCATCCAGAAAGAAGTACTGTAAGACCAGCGGCTTCCCATGGGCATCAGAACAGCAACAGCTGGACAATAGTGCACTTGATCCGTTCTTATAAACTAGGAGAAACTATTTCTAACAGATGGAGCTCTGGGAAGTCTGTTGTAAGTATTTGAGATAACATGGGACTGGAGAGATGGCTCAGCGGTTAAAAACATGGGCTGTTCTCCCAGAGGTCCTGAGTTCAATTCTCAGCAACCACATGGTGGCTCACAAACATCTGTAATGAGATCTTGTGCCCTCTTCTGGCCTGCAGGCATAAATACAGATAGAACACTGTATATATAATAAATAAATATTTTTTAAAAAAGGTAACAACCAATTTGATTAAAATCAATTTGAAAAACAGAATTAGTCATCATTTTTAGAAGCCAATTTGAGATAAAATGATAAGTATCAATTTTCAAACCGAGGATAAGTGTATTGATAGCAGTTGGTATAGGTTGGCCTCATTTGCAGTGTTCCATCAAAGTAATATACCAGCTGTAAACTTTACACACTGAAGAACCAGGAGGCTAATCCGGTAGCCTTAAAGTAAACATTGACTCTAAATACACCTCCCTGCCACGCCTACCATAGTTTGAAGCATTGATCACAAGGAAACAAACACATAAATTATTTGTCTGACTTATCTTACTAGGCCATTAGCCACTATGAACTCTTGGCAGAACGTTTCAATGCACACCTATTCATGAGTTGCTAACTCCTTCATTCATCCAACATTGCACATCTCCACAGGGAGGCCATAACTGTTAAGGAATGAGGGGCCACCATATGTCTCCTCAAGCAGGGACTCAAAGGCAGGTAAAGAAAAAGCTACTTCACTATAACATGAAAGTAGCAAGCCCTGGATTATTATAAAAGCTTTTAAACACATCAGTCATCTAACTTAGAGGAAACAGAAAGAGGCCGCCGTGCAGGGAAGTGATTGTGCTCCAACCTGTTCATAGGTTGCAGCATGTTTCCAGTTGCAATACGTCACCATTAGAAGGAAGCAAGCGAACAAGCTTTGTGTGAACATGGAAACGACCCAGAGGTCTTCCACTCAAAGATGACTGTTTCTTTCCAATAACTTACCAGAAATATGTGGATATTTACAAAATCTATGGGGTTTCTTAAATAACAGAAAATAGTACAAAACTAAAAACAAACAAAGCAAGAACAGAATGTTAATGTTAAAACTACAACTTCCTTTAAAGGTGCTGCCTTCCCTTTACAGATGGACGCATATACAATGGCAGGTGCGTCCCTACAGTTCATCATGCACATAGGTGAATTCTCTAGCAGATATAAATCCATCTTTGTCTTCATCTTCTTTATCAAAAATATCCTCCACCAAAGCATCATGGTGGCTTTCATTCACCACTGCACCGTGCTTCTCAAACTCCTTCTTTAGATACTCTTTAACCTACAAAATAACAGCTCTCGTTAACAACTGGCTCTCATTATAATCCACACACATTATATCATTGTAATGATATAGAGCAAGTACAAAACAACTCTGTGACCCA